TACCTCCTGATTACTCAATCTTTAGATCTCTTTAGATCCCCTCATCACCCCTCATCTTCACCAGTTTCAGCACTAGTGCCAAGAGAAACCCTAACGAGGCCGGCATTTACACGCCAAACAAGGCCGAGCACCTCTTTTTGAGCTCGCACAGCCTTCGTTTGAGATCGCTCCCTCTTCAGCCTGTCAGCACCGATCACACATGGCATGCTGGCATAGCATGCTGGGGAAGGGAAGTAGTGAGGGTGATGAAGGCAGCAATGTATGTAGAACAAAATCTATTTTCTGCAGTAATCAGTAGTTTATATATGTGAACTGCTGGACTGCTGGTTGTTTTCCAGACTTTTGAAGAAGACTTGCTTGGTTTCGGATGCATTTCGAGTTGGAAGGGATACATGTGGGAACTGTAGGTCTCACAGACGTTCATCTGCCCCAAATAACGTGCCCTTCGCCCTGCCTCGTGGCTGTGGGAAGGTCAGCCGCGCACGGGGCCGTGCAACACTGTGATCCTCGAAGTGCAACGGCTCCTGGCGAAATCACGGGCGTCAGCGGCACTTTGGCTGAGCCAAAATACACTCAGAAAAACACCCGAAACGCGTTCCTTCCCCAGAACTCATATCTTGAAAACGGCTGAAACCAATTGCGGACCCATCAGTCAGTGTTCGGCCTTGATTGGCTGTGGATCTTCCTGGACAGCCAAAGCTGCATTTCAGGCTAGGTAAACAGGAAGTCAAAACCCAAAATCAAGATCCGCATTTCTCCATCAGCTCACCTGCGTGGGCACTTCCGGCAGCCTGGAGGAGAGGGGGGGCACACTAATCAAAGTCGAGATCATCTTCCAAAAACAATCTCCTGTTTAGGTTTCTTGCATCGCCTTTGTCCGCGAACGCCCTTGGGAAGCAAGAAGGGGCCTTTGGCAGCAGCGGGATCCTGGCCAAGTTGGACAAACTGTCGGCTGTGAATTCAATTTGGAAACTGGAAAGTTGGTCAGAACGAGACCTGCGCTCAGTACGATTGCGTGGGGTTTGGGTTCAACTCTCTGCGCTCTCCGTCGTTTGTGGTGCAACACGAAGGAAAAGTCATATCCACGCGAAAAATAGTTTGAGAATGAGAACAGTTTTTTCACAATGTATAATGTATACTTAGTTTTGCCAGAGTCGTGCTTTGCCTCCCGCGCAGAGCAACACTCATCTGGCAGCACGGTGTGGAGCAGCTTCGCTGACACATCTCCGGCGCAAACGTATCCTGGGCAAGCAGCGGAGTATGAGCCTTTTCAACCTCGATATATCTTTTAGAATATATATATATATAGAGATTCGTTCAACTTAAGTCTCAAAAACTGTTTCGTGCTGAAGGAAGACCAACCGGCAGGATCGGCGACTTTGCTTCACAGAAACCGAACGCGCAAGGTTGTGACTACAAAATGGTCTCAAGCATAGACCGTGATGAGAAACGCACGCTGGGTCTTAAAAGCTGTCCGAATACGCGAAAAGCTGAATCCTTTTCCGTGAGCCGAATCTATCAAGCAGCCCCTTGCTCAAGTCGTCTGATTCTTCATCTTGTTCTGCGGGAATCCAAAGGCGTGCGTTCCAGCTGGGCAGCCACTTCCCTTAAAGACGACGGGCCACCCTGAAAGGTTTGCCCTGAAGAGGAACGACAGGCTTCTTCGATGAAACCAACGAGCCTGTCACGACGGCCGAAGGTGTGCCTGGCACCAATCGCTGCACCCTCTTTGCCGGCCATCGCCCGGCGCAGCCAGAAATCCCCCACGCTGTCAAGCCATTACCGCACCGTTCCCGGCAAACAAAAGCGCGAAAAAGGGCGAACCCTTCGGCAACACTGCGCTGTCCCTGAAACATATAGTTACCGGCGGCACCCGACGTCACGATTCAATGCGGGGCGGAACTTTGCAAATTTGTTTCACATGTTCGGACTCTCCGCATCTCGCGAAACTCTCCCATGTTCGGACTCGGCATCTCCAGGGCTGCGGGCTGCCCGTGGAGACCCACCCCCATTTATCTGTTCACATATATAGATCTCCAAACTGTGGCTGCGCTCGACATTCGCTGTCAACTTGTGGTAGCAGCGCTTGTTTCTCAGTACAACTGCAATTCCACTCCCAGGGCCCAGCACGGTCTGCCATTTTGGGCCATTCCCAATTCAATCGCGCCATGTTTCTCCGCTGAGAAGCAGAGAAGAAGGCTGCCAAGCCCCAGTCCCATTCATATCAGGAGCTGGCTGCCCCGAAACACCGCAGTATATTGATTCCTCAAGTTTGGGGTTGGGTGAGCAGGCAATGCGCCGTGCAACATGACAACAAAATGCACAAAGCCGCCACGACTCAGAACATGCTGCCCATGACCCGCCGTAAAGGCCCTCAGCTGCCCACCATGATGGAGCCCTGGGCCAATCTCACACTCCAATCACTGTCGTGGCATCGCAGTGCCCAAAACTTGAACCAAAAGACCTGCCTTTGGACTGCAAGCCAACCATCACTCCAAACCAAGTCGAACCAAGTGAGCCTCAAAACCGTCCTATGTCGGGGTGAGCGCTCGACTCCCTCTGGAAATACTGCGAAGATCCAGCGGACAGCCACGTTCCAGATCGCTGTGAGAGGTAGATGAGGTCGTTCCTGAGCCCTGCTACAGACTACAAACACCCTCCACGTACACCTGGACTCTTCCAGCTCATCCGTTGGATCCTGCAGGTCCATCTCTGAAAGACGTGGTTCCTCCACCATCTTCGCATTCTGACACATTCCGGCAAGAAGATGCCATTTCTTGCCACATCGATGTGATACACTCATTGTCCACAGTTTTGCAAAACAAGTTTGAAATTGTTGCACAAGAAGGCTTGCCTTTCGAAGGAACACTCGCAAACGTCGAAGCCAAGCACAGCTAGTCGAGCCGGTCGAGCCTTCCAAAATCCTTGCTTAGCGAGGCCATTCCGATAGACATGTCACAAATGCTCGGTTGGCTAAGCGCTCGGCTGGACTCCGAGAGGGCCACAATCCGCCGCCCGGACACACCGCTCGAGGAGATGCGGTGGATCTCATAGTGCCAGGTTTGTCGGAAGAAGCCACTGCGGTCGGTGAAGGATCCTCAAAACACCAGAACGAGGCAAACGATCCCAAACCGGTGCTTTGCCCAATGAAGGTGCTTGGTCACAGCCTAGTGGAAACCCACACAGCTTTACATGCACTGTTTAGAGAAGAAAGTTGAAGCAAAGAGTGTCAGACATACCAAAAGTCCAAAAGGTGGAAGAAGTAGTCTTGCGATGTCATGTCGAGTTTCTTGCCTTGACTGCAGGGCCGGTTTGGAAGTGGTCTCTGGTATTCTTGGACTGTTGCTTGGAAGGATCCACTGCCACTGTCTGATGATCTCTCCATCCCATCCGTCCTGCATAGGTCTTTTGCTCAACAGCCTCACATCTCCAGGCTCAGCTTGGTTCGACAAAAGGTGGCCACTTGTTTGCTCAGCTGAGTTCTTTTCAAACAACTCACTCCACGGCCCCAACGGCCCCAACGGCCCCAACGGCCCCAACGGCCCCACCCGATCTGCCTTTTTGGAGGCCGAAATGATCTTATTTCTGTCTCCAAACAGTCTTTATGGGTCGATGTCTTCAATGTCTTCACGGCACTGGACCGAGTGCATGTACACACGCTGAACACCAGCATCAGGATAAGCCACCCAAATCTTAAGCAACGGTTGGTACATTGGTACATGCAAAGAGCACCACCCACTTTGCTGGCACTGAAAGCAATGAAACGCAAGAGCAATTTGGCGTAGAAGAAACCTCCGATCTTTCCCGGCAATTTGGCGAGCAAAGACAACGGTCTGTCGACCAATCCAGTTCCTCCCGCGCCTTGCCATTGACTAGCGTCTCCGGCAATGGTCGAAAGCCGATCTCCTGTGGCGTGGACCGACACGTCTGGGTGAAACTGCGCGACGGCAACTGGAGAAACTGCGTGTCGGAATGCGATGTGGGCTTGGCATGTGCATCGAAACCGATTTGAACAGACCGAGGAAGAAAAAATGGAGCTGCTCAGCTGCTCGAATTTGAGCCAATTGTTTGTAGTTTGGTCACACGTTTGGCATTTACCTTCTTAACCAACTCTACTTGCAAAAGAAGGCAAGGTATATTCAAGGATATCCAAGGTATGTTCAGCATACCAAGTACCAAGTGCTCAGTTTTACCGTATTGGGGGATTGGGGCATCTAGTTGCCTCGTCTTCGCGGCTCCACCTGCGAGCGAACCAAGATCTTAGTAGCGATGCCCTTTGCTCCTAGTAGTTTCTTGTTCCTAGTAGTATGGCCAGGAGCGCCTAGTAGCGTCCTTGCTCCTAAGGTCTTCATGCAACTTCAGACTCCTCCGAAGTGGGCGGCTCCGGCAACCGCTCCAGATCGGCTGCCGCCCAAAGAGCCGCCTGGCAGCACTCTCACGACGTGTCCCTTTTGGAAACAGTGCTGCATGACCTGCCAAGATGGCCTCTAACCTAACAGCAAAAGGAACCTAATAGCGGTGGCCTCCAGTCTACTGCAATGGCCAGATATGCCAAGATGCTGCTATTCGGTTCCATTGAGCACGTGTGATGTTTAGGACGGACATTGATCTCACAACATGTCCCACAAGCTGCGGTGGGAGCCAGCGCAAAGGAAAAGGATAGAACAAGTAAAAAAAGCTAACAATAAGCTACTAGGAACAAGTGCATCGCTTCTAGTAACAAGTGCCTTACTACTAGTAACAAGAAGCTACTAGTAACAAGAATAATTCTCTTGGTCAAAGCCATGGTCTCCTCATGGTCCATCCCCCTCTTGCAAGCCTCATCATAGAAGAGTCGGTAGGCCTCCTCGAGTGCCTGCCTTGGTACTCCCACGATCATCCAGAGAGGACAAGTGTGAAGCCAGCTTTCCACCTCCAAAGGCCATTAAACGCATGTCTAAAGTATCGACGTATGGTTCGCAAAACTGAAAAAAAAAAACAAAGTACGGCCGTTGGCCGTTAGCTAACATTGTTACTACTAGTAAGGCACTTGTTACTAGTAGCGATGCACTTGTTACTACTAGCGTGGCACCTGTTCCTAGTAGCGAAGGCGATGGGTTTCCATTTTGGTTGGAATCCTCACCGCTGAGGTTCCCGCCGTCGCCAGGCAGGATATCTCTCCTCGACAGTTTCGCACACGTGCTTGGTGTGCAAGTGGACGGGAAAATGAATAGTTCGTGGGCGCAAGACCTAAAACCTTCCGAAGAAACAGCGTCTACCCAATCCTACACCTGCTCACCTTGTCAGCAATCACTTCCCAAAAAAAAAGCCAACAAACAAAGCCGCAAACACCCTGGAAGGCCCTGAAACCCATCAAAAACCGAATCCTCAGTGCTCAGGATCTCCAAGACGCTCGCACACTGCGGATGGGCTCGGCACCACACAAGGATCCTCGGGTTGCGAGATGTGGTGGGTTGGATCCTCGATGCCAAAAGGGTTCAGATTTGGATTCGGCTTGAAAATAGGAAGGTTCAGCCTGTGAAACAATTTCCTTCCGAAACCGGGCTACCGACTTCAGCCTGGAGACTGGCGATATGCCTCTCCGACATCCACCACTGCACTTGGCTTTGCCAGTGCTTCCTCAAGTTGCTGGTAGAGGTTCAGCAGCTCAAAGGCCTAAACGAACTCATGGCACGCTTGGCGAACCTTTTATCCCACGCGTGCCAGTCTTTCCCACCTCCAGCCGCCACGAAAATATGCGTCCATTACGTGTTCGTAGCTCCCCTCCTCTTGTCGGCTCTGGCCTTCACAGTCTTCTCAGAGATCGTGCTTGTTCCGCTTTGCTGCTGCCCCATGACCAACTGGGTCTTGTCACAACGTTCGAATCTAAAAGTGGGGCAATTGCAACCTATGATACAGTGCTGACTCCAAACATTACTTACCTTGATAAATTGTGTGCAGAAAACATCATTACCCCCTATTCTCAATACAGGGTTTTAAGCCACATCGCTTCGGCAAAAGAAAAGTTGGAACCTTTGCTGCAGGACGATCTAGGAAGTCCGGTGTTTGGAGGTATCATCTATGCATCAAGAACCTAATTTGATTTATGTGTGGCTTTTGTGAGCTCACAATGTGATTTGTACTTCTCAAAGTGATGTCTTCCTGAAGGCAGCTATATCAGGTAGTCAGTACTAAATGAATGTGTTGTGCCGAAATGGCAGCATGTGCAGCAAGGTCAACCGATGGAAACCTGGAGAAAAGAAAGCCTTGTGCAACAAACACCAAGCATTGTTCACTTGCAGGGTCCTCCCTGATTCTAAAGAGCAAAGCAAATTTGTTGATCCAAAGATGCAGTGGAATCAGTGGACAGTGAATGAATCTCAACGATGGAGGTCACGACAGGTTTGCCTCCTGTTCGTGGCTTTCAGCTGGACTCTGGGTTGTAGGGTCAAAGATCTTCCATGGTCCGGGAAGCCAATGTCACGATGTGAAGTGACCAACAACACGAACACCCCATCGAAACACACGGTGAGTGAGGTAAGGACAGCTACTAGGACCACAATTGTTGTTTTCCTCATCACAGGAATCCTTCGGAAGATCCCTTGTCTGTCCATGTGAAAGCTTGTTGAAAGTTTTTACGCCTTTGCAGAACCCAGCTTCACATCCGGGGCTCAAAACAGGGACTGGAAGCGATTGAAGTTGACGAGGCATCAAATGCTTGGACAGCTTTGGCATCAAAAGAACCTCAACTTCCTCCCAAAGTGCGGCTCTTGAAGCAGCAGAATGCAAATCGCCTTTTGCGATGGTTTCTGCTACATAATTCTTAGCCCTGTGACATTGGAGCTTCTACAGAAAGGTGTGCGTTGCAGAATCAACCAATAGACTTCAAACAGATGTTCATAAAGTAAGATCTTTGTCTACTGCGGTTGCCGTGGTTGCACTTGGAGATAAGAAGCTCAGCAGCACCAGACAAAAAAAAAGAAAACATCAAGCTCATCGAGCTTCTTTTGTAAAAGCTCTGAGTGAAACCTTCAGAAGCACTCGTTTCAAAACTCCATCTTTTCGGTCCCATCCTGCAGGGAACGCAGTCTTAACACCTCTATCTTTGGCCTAAATCGTCCAATTCGTGAGACCTCATGCTGCCCACCTCGCCTCAAGCCCATGCAGAAGGCCTTGAACTTCACTGCGTCCTTGACACTGTCATCAGTCTTCAGTTGACAGTCTTCGGTTCCTAAAGAAATGCTGCGAGATGAGATATGTAGGTATCCAGCGCCCAGTTCGCATTTCATCTTGAGGAGCCTCCTGGCATCGAAAAAGTTCAAATTACATAAGAAATGCGTGTTCTCTCCTTTTCATTCCTGCTTATTTCCTTCTCTTGTTCTCTTATTTCAAAACCCTTTTCCCTTTCTGGTAGAAGGAGGAACTGAGAAGCTGAAAGATATGAAATTTGCCAAGAAGGAAAGCCAGTTCCTCCATCGGTTCAATCCTTCGTTCCTTCTGTTTTTGAAGTTTTTTTTGGAGCAATTGAACGACTTGACCAACTCTGACAAAGTTTATCACAACGCACCATGTCGTCTAAAGAGCACTCATCTTTTGGGAAACAATGTCGTTTCAACAACTAGTAACAAGAAGCTACTAGGGGCTCCTGGCCTTACTACTAGGAGCATTCTTGCTTCTAGTAACAAGAATCTAGCAGTTTTGGCTCTTCGAGAACCAATCCCCGAGTGCCGTTTCCCATCGCCACGGGCAATCAGTTTCGATTCTCGCAGTGCGGAGTCCGAGTGCGCACCCTGACTATATTGGCTTAGTTTGTTGTGTTAGTTGTTTTTTGTGATGCAAAATCTGTATTTGCTCCATCTTTGCCTAAAGTTCAAGTTGAAAAATATCACCCAAAGGGCAGTCCAAAGAACTTGTGTTTTTGGTGAGACGCTTCAATCTGGAATGAACCACTTTTGGACTTTCGAAGAAGCAATGGGAACGTGTTGAAGAAATCCTATGCCGTTGTCAGAGGGGAGTGAGGTTGAATGGCAATATGTTGTTGAAAAAAAACAACTATAGGTTCACAATAATTCCTGTTTAAAGTGGATTGTTTTTGGAGTTCAAGTTGAAGTTTTGGTTCCCGAAGTGTCCTCAAGAGAGCAGAGTCGAACTGCACACCTCAAGAAACACATAAAACCGAAAAGGAAGCAGAGTTGAACTGCAGAGCAGCTTGATCATGAGGAACTTCAAAAGATCCTCGTTGTAAGGACTTTCAGGAGAGGGTCTGTCTTTTTTGAGGCTAAGGCCAGGACCGGGCAACCCAAGCTACCATCACAAGCGACAGAAGAGAGCCTAAGCGCTTGGCGCTTCAGGTTTGTAAGAGCTCAATTCGGATTTGTTTGGTCTGAGCGGCAAAGGGTTAAGAGAGCCCAATTCATCGCAGCAGCTTTCCGGTATCTGTGCACCTCACAAGCCACACACGACCGCACCGATGCCGCTTCTCTCTTCCGTCCGGTCTAGCGCCTCTAGCAAGCTCCGATCCAATGGCGGAAGCGGCTGAACCCCTGGGGTCAGTTGTATGCCTGAGAAGGTCGAGAAGCTCCGCTTCAGTGCGAGTTAGACTACCAAAGTCACAAAGTAGAAGCTACTTTTTTTTGCCGGAAGCTTTGTGCCCCTTGTGTCCGAGGAGCATTTTCCAGTTTCACACGAATAGCCATCAGCGCAACCTCAGGAGACAGAGGAGGAGGGAAAGCTTTTGCCGCCCTCAAAATACTGAGTTGCTGGCGGCAAATACCATTTTTCAGAGGAAAGCCGGATGACATCTGCATGAGGCAGCAGCTCACACAGGCATTTGCACAAGCAGTATGTGTTGCCAAGTGTTGAAATGAAGGCTGAGACTTCGTTGGCCGACGGTACAGACCAACAAGAGGACCTTGACCGACTTGCCCTTCACAAGTGGCCCTCACGTAACTCGTAAAAGCGAACACGCAAAGGACCTGACATTGCTACTCAGTTACCACTCCTGGCTCCTAGGTTGCCATTTCTACTAGTAACAAGAAAAAAGGAAGTAACAAAGGGCATCGCTAGGACCGCCAGGAGCAAGGACGCTACTAGGGGCGCCTGGCCTTACTAGGAACAAGAAGCTAGAAGGTTGGATGAGTCGGGGGATCGGCCCGATCAGCGCCTCGGCGGCATCGCAGCGCACGGGGCCTCGCTCTGCCTTGCAACCGCTGAAGGTCTCCAGCCCCTCGGAGCGATTCTCGACATCGCACCACACTCGCCGGTCTCCGGTCTCCAACCCAAACCCAATACAAACCCATCCTCATCCCGATCTCATCAAGTTTGCAAATGTGACACGTGTGTATATGTCTTCCTCTAATAACAATTGTGACCTTTTTTAAAGTTGACATCCCAGGTATAGGACCGCTTCAAAAGGCAAGGAGAAGCTACCAGCTAACTCCAGGCTTGATCAAGTCTGTGTCTGTGTCCTACTGAAACACCACTCAACACAACAATGAAATTCGCTATAGTATGCTTGAGCTTGCCCTCCAAGTTGCAGGAACACACTGCGAGTTTGGACAGCAAACCTGTTTCAAAGACTGCAAAACGATGGAGACAACATGGATTTCGGTGCACATGTGTGTGTATATTCACATATATTATATTATATTATATTATATTCTACTATATTATATTATATATATATGTGTGTGTGTTTGTGTGTTTGACCTTGACGGGATTGTCAACCGTCTTGCAAATTGAATCAGAGCTTTCCTGTGCAAAAGACTGGAAACTTTCATGGACTCGTTGTGCCTTGGACTCTTTGCAGAGTGGGGTTATGGCCGGTGAGCTCATCGAGGCAAAGTATCTGAGACTTGTCGGATGTGAAGTTGCATCTCTTGCTCGTCTTTGTGAGGGGCTGAGGCTGATCTCTCGTAAGACGTTTGGCAAAAGGACGTGATTCACAGGTTCAGGGATTATGGGAACCACGCTGGCACACTCCAGCCAACTCGCAGAGATTCGCAGAGAATCTTTAGGCATTCGATCTCTCACAGTTTCTGCTTCTGTTTCTCTGAAATGACGCACGAGTCCGCCATCTCCCCGAGGTCAGCGATGGCCAGGACCTGAGATAGACAGATTTTTCGAATCGTCGTTTGTTGCATTCTTCGGCAACACATGTCCACCAACTCAACTTCTACCTTCAAAAGGTGAAGCACTTTTCACTCTGAGGAGAAGAGGGACGAAACACGGAAGGACTGCATCAAAGTTGTACATGCCAGTTGACAGCACTGGCCTCCCTCTCTCAGTGTCACACGGGAAACCAAATCACTATTTTCACGGCTCGAACCATGACACTCGTCCATCAATCCGCTCGTCAGGTGCTTTTGTCTGCGTCAGTTTTGATGTTGACGACTATGAAATGAAATAATAGAGTGAAACATGCATTGAGTTCTGAAGCTTTGCACGTTGTCGAATCAACTTTCTTGTGTTTGACATTGCTGATCTGCTTCAAGGATTGTGGACGGCGACACGCAATAAATTGAACGCTTCAGCTACACTTCGACCTTTCTTCACCACTGAGCGTTCAAGAATTTGTTGTTAACGATTCTTGTCACGGACCCGAATGCACACACGCGCTCGAAAACAACGGCCAAACATTGTTCACACTCTTTGGGACAGCAAGGCACTCTTGTGGGTCACTCTTGTAGGACACTGAGCAACTCTTTTGGGACACTCTTGTGGGAAACTGTTGCTTCTTCCAAAACACGCGTGTCAAGTCTCCAAAACAAGCGCTTTGCATGAGACTCCGTCCAAAAGTTACGCATCAAAGTCTTCAAAACGAGCGTTTCGTACAAGACTTCCTTCAAGAGTGAAATGGAAAGGAAATGGGAAGTCTCAGCCAGTCCTCCAGTCCCAGCCCCTCAAAGCCATAGCTGCCAGCACACCAACCCCAATGGCACAGCGACACTCTCCTCCACAACCTCACCTTTCCCTGCACCTGCCACGAAAAGTGACCACATGGCATTTTCGTGTCTTCAATTAAATTTGCACAACATCACACGTTTGGACTGGCTTCGGCACTCTCTGAGCACAATCACAACCGAAAGACAAATCACAATGTTAGCTGGAACTTGTCACGGAAGCAAAGCTTCGAAGCAGCAGCCTGAAATGAAAATCCCACTGTCACAGCGAAGGAAACTGAAACTGAAGAGCGCACAAAACGCTGCTTCAGCATGTTACGCTTCTGCTATTTCCCAGGAATCTGCCACTTCACGCACCATCCACCTCCAAGACCTTCCCCTGTCACTGCACAATCAAACAATTTGTGGACGGCGAACAAAGCGACGTCACGCGCACGGCTGGAACCCTTCGCTGTCGCTGAGCCCGAGCCCGTGCAAGATAGCCTACGGGGTGTTGCCCTAGCCTAAGATAGCTAGTCCCAGCCCCACGGCTTAACCCCTAGCGGGCCCTAGCGTGCAAAAGCGCTGCTCACATGTGTTGGATTGTGTTGGATAGTTTTTGGTTCGAAAAGCAACTGGGCATCTCTTTTTCTGCCGAATCACACGTCTCCGCGACGATCCAGCGTGGCCACTCGTGTCCCCTCTTTTTTCAGGGGCATCCTAGTGGGTCAAAACCTCCAGGCCTTCTTGGAAATGACATCCCCTCATAACTAGATCGAGCTGTCCAAAATTCTGCCATTTAGTTTGGAAACATCTTCAAGCTGACTACTAGGAACAAGAAGCTACTAGTAACAAGGGCATCGCTACTAGTGGCATTCTTGCATTCTTGCTACTAAAGAAGCTACTAGGTGCCTAGATTTCATCGAAGGCCTATGGCTCAGGCAAAACCGGATATTACTTGTGCTGACTTGGTGAGTCAAAGAAGTTTGCTATTAGACGTTCTTCCTTTTCGACTTTTTTTGTGTCTAAAAGCGATGGCCTCCAACCTGCTAGCTATGGAATCGAACTACGTCCTTTTTTAAACCCCGCTCTGCCTACTACTTGATTAGGTAGGCATCCACACAATTAAGTAAGGGCTAAGTTAGCTCCTGGCTACTGGACACAGGATAGCGGACATTTTTTTTGGTTCCCTTGGAGCAAAGGACGCGACTAGGGGTTCATGGCCTTACTACTAGGAGCAAGAAGCTATTAGGAACAAAGGGCATCGCTACTAGGAGCAAGGACGCTACTAAGTTTGTGTACCACAGGAACTTTGGTGTGGCAGACTTTCAAGAACCCTTTCGTCCTTTCGTTGTTCTTCCCGGGGTCTTTGACCCTTCAGTTGGCAGTGAGATCTGTGCGTTTCACTGACCAACTTGGACATTGCCTATTGCCATTCACAGTGCTCACAATCTATTCACGTGGGCAAACTCAAAGACTAGACAGAGCAAGCCACCAAGGTTCACTGCAGTGGTCACCTGTTCAGTTAGAAGACTGATCCTATGGGAATGCCTCCTTCAGACTGAACTGATATCACAGAGGCACGAAGATTAACTTGCAACGAGCTGTTTCAAAATGCTGAGGTCAGAAGGGCGCGCAAGTGTACTGTTGGGAACAAAACAACGCCACCTGTTAACCTGTTTTGTACCGTTATCCTCCAAAAAGAAGCTGCGCGGTCGCCTGCAAAACAAGGTCTCTAGCTGCTCTAGCTCGGGGATATTCAGACTACATAATCGAAATCAATCTGTGAATGTTCGCACTTTCTCGGCAAATTTCAAAGCTATTACGCCCGCAACTGTCGCTGGACTCTTGCCCATTCCACTGTGGAGCCTGTTAGGGACACTCCAAATCACCATTGGCATTCCTGAAAGCAGAATGCTTTTGATATATTCTGCTACTAGGGGCTCCTGGCCATGACCAAGAAGCTACTAGCACTCCTGGCATCGCTACTAGGAGCAAGGACGCTACTAGTAAGTCGCCAAGAATGTTTCTAGATGTTCCGGCTCAGGGCTCCCAATGTTGAGACAGAAGGCTGCTGATAGATAAATCAAAGAATTGCTACCCCACACTGGTCTCCCAACAGGCATGACGCAGACCCTCCACAGAATGGGCATACTTTATCCAGCAGGGCTTCTGTATACAAGGACAGCCTCTTGCTTCTCGCTGGACCTTCTCTCGCCCAAACATCACGCGTCCTTTGGTGGATTGTGACTACTCTCAGCCAACATTCAATGGGAAACAATTGCTGCCATCCGCTGTAACCCACATAACTTCTAGAAAATACAAAAGCCCAGCAGTCCCTAAGTGAGCTGACAAGTTCCTCGGTTCAGAGTCACAAAGTGTCCCGTTGACTCAGTTGACTCTGCCGATTGGCTCAAGGGCGACTGCGCTTGTGAAGGTCCAGGCACGTGGCGTCCGATCTACGGAGTTGCGGCCTCCACTAGCAAAAGCAACCTGAGAATGGCCTCCAACCTACAAGCGATAGCACTAGCGGCAGATACTCAGACCTCGTTAGATATCCCAAGTCCATAGGCCCGCATGTTCATTATCTTCGGATCAAGACCTGGAACCTGCTCTCGGTAGTCAGAGACGATATCTTGGGATTGAAATATGAAAGAGAACAAACACCACAATCTCTCCTCGAACATCTGTTTCAGAGATAACTTTCTGATGTTAGGCTCACACATTCTTTGGCATGGTCTTTCAACACTGTCTCTTGGTGCACTTAGACCCTTTATGATCCTAAAGGAGCATGCGCTTTCATTTCCGTTCTTTTCCTTGCTCCCTGTCACTCAACTTCACTCTCAACACTTGTCATTGTGTTATTTCGTGATCTTTCTTCACTTCTTTGTCAAGAAAGCGCAGCCCAGATCCTGATCCACTTCACGACAGCATCGAAAGGAGTTTGTGGCCGACACTCTCAGCAGTTGGTGGCTCACCAAGGTCTCGGAGATCAAGCGTTCGGACGCTACTGATGGAGGCCGCTAGAAGCTACTAGGAGTAAAGGGCATCGCTACTAGGGGCTCCTGGCATCGCTACTAGTAACAAGAAGCTACTAGGTGGAGGCCATTACTACCAGTCGTAGCTCCTGGCATCGCTATTAGGAACAAACCACACTACTAGGAACAAAGGGCATCGCATCGCTACTAGGAGCAATCTCGCTGATCATTCTGACCTCGAAGTAGCATGAAGTAGCTTTAGTCTTTGGTGTCATGGGAGGCTTCGGAGCAACCGTCATCGGACATGTCTGTTTGCTGGAGATCTCCCCATCCTATTGGAAGATCAACTGATTGATCAAGCAAAAGCCTTTAACAAATGACAGAGTCAAACACAAGACTGGGTGCCACACAATCGAGCTCGGGAGACGTGTTCATTAACTTCAAATCCTTGGCCTGTGGCTGCCTCAGCAAGAATCGAAAGGTGAGGACTGCAGTGAAGGAGGAATGTAGCTTGAGGCAGAGCCAGGAGCAAACTCCTGTCTTGGCATTACTGACCAGCTGATACAATGTTGAGATGGACAATCTGACATTGGTCAGCTGCCAGAGAACGAGCTATGGCAGGGTCATCAGAACAAGGTTGCTGGCACAGTTGACGACCCCAAAATAACATGGTTCACATCGACTGAGAATGCCAGCAAATGACAATTGTACTTTCTTAAGTCCATCAACAGGTGTCCCCCGGAGTACAAGTTCATTCCATTCCATTCCCACACAAGACTGTTCGTTGAATCCACAGCGGGTTTCAAGCTCCAGACCCCTGCTGGGTGACGTGTAGAGTAAATTCCACCTCAAACCTCGGCGCCCACACCGACGGAAACGTGTCAGCATACGATGTGTCTGAGCACAGCGCCCACTGGTCAGCGGTCGGTTATCTGGAACCTGCACTGCAAAATGTCTGCGAATGTATGGGATCTTCGGATCGATTCGCTGTCACCTACACTGCACTGCAGTCATCTCCTGCTCACCTGCGTCTGTGCCACATAGACATCTTTGCCCGGAAACCTGTGCGAAGAAATTTATGCGACGGGAGCTTTGGGCATACAGAGGCAACTGAGATCAAATCAGCCGCCTCAAAACAATAAATCAGGAACGTTGTTTGCCAGTCGAAAAAAAAACAAAGAGCAAATTGAGTTTCTTCATGTGGCTCCCCACTCACAACCTACATGCGGCTGTCAGTTTCTCCATCGGGGCTCCGACAAACGCTGAAGCTCTGGAGCTGTCAAAAAGCCGAAGCCCCGGGAAACGTTGAAGCTCTTCACGGTGCCCTTGAAGACCTCGACATCGAACAAACGAGAAAACATAGGAAGCTAAACATAGCACCTAAGCATTCTTTATCATTCTTTCAAGGACGCTACTAGGAGCAAGAAGCTACTAGGGGCTCCTACTACTTAGTAGCTCTTTCACTGTGCCTTTTGGGAACGAACTATTTGAGACCTTCCGTGTCAAGCGGGGACGGCCTTGCCCAAGGCATCGCCAATCCGAAGACCTTCGGACAGGTTGAAGCCGTCGAACCGGTTTTTTTGGAGTTGGTCAATCTCGTGTCGATGGTGTTTCACCCTGCACTTAGCGGCGATATCAAACACCATCCACGAAGGGTTCGTGATGGTTCGTGTAAGAAACCGGGTCATGCACGAGGTCACAATGGAGGGTTGTCAGCGCAGTCAACTCAATAGTGATTGTTCAATCCCGATGTGTCAAAAGTGCAAGGACAACGAGACGCATGGAAGAACGTAACCTCAAAGAATGCCAAGACTGCGTGTGCAAGATAGACATTGACAAAATCACCTCTGCAATGTTTGGGCCAAACAACTTTTGTATATAATTCCTATCTTTACCTCTTCAAGGCCTCTTTCAGGTACAAGCCAACAAGCACAGTACGCAGCACACCCGGACAACCCCGCAAAACAACACCCCACTGAGGCCAAGTCGATGATCACCTGGGCAAAGGGAAGTGAAGCGGAAAGCGGAAAGGAAAAAACACAGGATGTTCACAGGAGGAAAGACAGAACCGACAAAATGATTCAAAATAAAAGGTCTAAAGCTACATTATGATGTCCACGCCGAATCACCATGGCCCCAAGACAAAACAATATATGTAATGCGCAAATCTTCCCAAGCGGCACGCCGTAGCTACATCAAAGCTGCGTAGCCATTCCATCAATGTCGGTTTACTCCAATCAAACAAACCAAGCAAGTTTCAGAAGCTCTTTCGACCTACAAAAAAGAGCAATGAAAGGGAATGGAAGCAAGATTCAGAAACGAGCATATCATCAAAGTATGTCAAGCCCGAAAGCGTTCAAAAGTGAATCTGGACAGTTCTGGATGGAGATTCTTACACGCCAAGTGTTTTGTCCTGTTCAATCGGCACTTGGTTCTTCAATCCAAGCGAATAATCCCACCTGAAAACAACTAGGTTGATGAAGTTAGGAGAGGTGAGCATCAGGCAAGTACCCGAACTTGGAGAATTGACCAACTTATTGCTCTCGTGGTGTAAAGCGGAGAATCCCAGGCAAAGCGGCAAAAGAAATCAAGATCTAAACCGCAAACTCTGCTGTTAACAAGCATGCGGCAGCATGCGCCTGAAAGAATGAAGGCTTCACATCGGAAATCCGCTGTAGGTTGGAGGCCATCACTTCTAGGTTGGATAGAGATTGCTCCGACTGACCCACCCGCCCAGCCTTGATCGTCCTCGTTCTCTTTGTCCGCCTCAGAAACAGTCACTCCACAAATCGTCCTCTTTTTGCCTTTTCACTGAGTTTCGCATGTTCACTCCACATCCACTCAATGCTTTGGCAAAGGCTGCCCCAGCCGCCCTGGCGGCCCCCCTTCTGCACCTCCAGTCTGGCTTCTCGCGCCTCTCCGTGGGAAAGCTGAGTAAGACTTGGCAGCTTGGAAAATGATTGCGAGTTTGATGATTTGTGGACATGGAAAATTTGGAAAACACTGACTTCATTCACAACCTGGATTTTCCCAAGACGTCACGTCACCTGCGGTCTCCCGTTCTTGTCCAGCTCAATGGTGAAGCTCACTGGGCAAGGTTTGCAGTTTGCGGCTGTGTCTTACCCATCCAATAAAATACACACAAGCTTGTCTTCAAATCTTGTCTTGAGGAATTGATGTTAAGTCTTGAGAGTTAGCCTGTCAATGTCTTGCTCGAATCAATAGTCAGTGACGTCGGTGTGTGTTTGCGTCCTTCCTGTCCTTCCCTCTGAGCACCCTGGCCAATGCTTCCTACCACGATGCCGCCCTCGATGCCTTGGTTCATGAAGACATCGCAGCCTGGCAGCACTTTGCAAGCAGCGCCGACTTTCGAAAACTAGAGAAGAAGCTTGCGAATGACGGTCTTTCGAACCCAGTCTGAATGAGCCTTGGTGCCTTGCTTATATATCAACACCGCTCAAGTGGTCCAAGAACCCAGAAGGCTTGAAGCGTCGAACGGATCTCTTTTTGCGACGATCTCGCCCATCTTCACAGCTTCAGGTGAGCGAGCCAAACGTGCACCGGCGCCCAAGCTAACGCTTTCACCCTGTCACCAGTGTTCACAACACACTTTGTCGGGCAAAGGACGCGGATCTCTTTACATCTGTGGCTGCTAGTGACATGAACAAGCTTTGCTTCCAGCAGGTCGAAGCCGCACGCCCCAACACGGCACTTGCCGACATCCACACATGACAAGAAGAAACAACACCAATCAGCTATTTGGGTTTAAAAGCAAGAAATTTGGGACTGTGGGCACAAAGACCCTGCAGACGATGTCAGAACATGTCTTGAGCATTTCTGATGTGCGCTCAAGTTGCTTCTGTGTTCTTCGTATTTTTTGCTCTGCGAGGGTCCGCTCAGAGCTGCGCTTTCGCTAGGGTTCTGAGCTCTCCTCATCTGTCGGAGGCACCTGCAAACTTCGATCAGTCCCAAGTAGCAAACTGCAACTTGTTCGCTCCGAAATCATTCCACAAGATACCACAAGTCAATATGATCTGTAGGCTGTTGGGATATGGTAACAATATACAGTAGATAGCACTTCCACCGTAGGTACTGCACTCTGTCCGGCTCTGCCCCAAAGCCCCTTCCCCCACCTCCAGCGGAAGCCCCAACTGCAGCAACGCTGCGCTCCTCACGACGAAGTGAAAAGCCAAAGCCATGAATGCAGTTTAAATGTAAAATTTATCAGTCTGTATTCATGAATATGAATATTAATTTGCTATTCTTCTACATTCAGCTTGCATCGCCACTGTTTCCTACACTACGTTATTTCAGAAGCTGTTCTTGACAAAGGTGTTGCAACTGGCGTGGCTTGTTTTGGAGCACAGTTGATCCAAAACCGGCTTTGATAAGGCCCCAAGTCGTATTCGCTTCCCAAAACATGTTTGGCTGAAGCCCTTGCGAACTTGTGATTTTATCGCTGTGACTCCTGCGCGTGAACCTATCTCCCACACTGACCCCAAACATGCTCTCTGCCGTGCAAAACATTTCACTTATTCCAGGTCGTCCACCCTTCCTTCCATGCAGCCGCGTCACAACTTAAAAATAGTCGCTAAGAGAACGCATGTGAAGCCTGGTCGGGCAGTTTCGGCTAAGAGTTCTGGTTCTTGCTGTGCAAATTATGCGGCCACCAGTTCCTTCCCTCTCTAAAGTCACACAGTGCATGATTTTCTGGGCAGGAGTCTTAGTGGTTTGACTCTTGAGCTCATCATGCTTGAAACAGAGAGCAAGGTTTGGCACCTCACAACGCAAAGTGAAAGTCTGGCTATCTAACGAGGTTCAAGACACTTCCTACTTCGGTAAACGAGTTGTTAGTACACTTAGAAGATAGTCGACAAAATGTTATCTCATGTTCTTCACTTCAAAACCGAGTACGTGCTCCCTTTCAGGTCTCTCAGTCGAGTTCAAGTTGAAAGGCTCGAAAGGTGTCTCCAGAAAAGAGAGAAAGGTGTCTCAGAATTCTCAGCATTACTACTAGTAGCTACAAGCTACTAGTTAAGTTTCCCTAAAAATATAGGAACCAAATCATTAGTGCGAGCGCTTCTTCAAGGAAGCTTCCTTGAAGAAGCGTGAGCTATCCTGCGTCCTAAGTAGTAGCTACTTGCAGGGGGTAGCTACCTCTCCCTTACTTAATTCAGTAGGTGCCTACTTAATTAAGTAGGGAGGGGGAGCGAGCGAGCTAAAAAAACTAAGGGCATCTTGCAAGGCCCTCCGAGAATCCTGCATATCTTCCCCCTTGTCCTTCCGCCTGGTCCCATCATGGGCTGCAAGAAGACTTCTGCTCTCAGAAGAGTACGGATGCAAGTCCCATAATACGTGGCAATTAGCCCCAGATTCCTTGGAGAAGACGGAATAGAGCGCACTTGAATAGCCGGACATTGAACATTACTGAGATGATTTCCAATTGCCAAAATCGCGGTCTATCTCTCTCTCTCTCTCTTTCTCTCTCTCCTCTCCTTCTCTCTCCTCTCCTCTCGTCTCTTCTCTTGTCTCTTCTCTTGTCTCTTCTTCTCTCCTCTTCTCTCCTCTCCTCTGCTCTGCTCTCCTCTCCTCTTCTCTTCTCTTCATACTTTGAGGGGTGTAAACTGACAACAGTTTGACCTTCGAACAAAGTCGAAAGGTGGGAGGAACGGGATGGTGGGGTCAAGCTTCGCGCACTTTGAAGGAAAAAGATCCATAAGAGAAAGAACAACCTTAAGAGCAACGGTGTGTCGTGCCATTGCTGCTGGGCACAAAAACAACCGTGTGAAATTCTTCACGCCAAGCCGCGAAGCCAAAGCAATAAGACATTTCTTCCTTGTCTTTGTCTCTAATAGCGATGGCCTCCACCCTAATAGCGATGGCCTCCACCCTAGTAGCGATGGCCTCCAGACCTCCACCCTAGTAGCGATGGCCTCCCAGCTGAGGCAAGTGTCGCAATTGACCCGAGGATTCCTGCAAAGAAGACCATCACTTTGTTGATGGCGGAGTCCTTTCCGCTCAGTCCTTATCGCGGGTTACTTGGCGCAGACTGTATCTTGCGGCGAGGAAGTCGGTCCTCTGAGTTCTCAAATTGGCTTCTTTGCTAGTTAAATTCTTATTGTTACTAGTAGTAAGGCACTTGTTTCTACTAGCTTCTTGTTACTACTAGTAAGGCACTTGTTCCTTTGCGGCGAGGAAGTCGGTCCTCTGAGTTCTTGTCAAATTGTGCAAGTGATGGGCTTCAGGTTCGGCTTTGGCGGGTCGGTTTTGGCGTTTCGGGGCATTTCCCAAGTGATCAAGGCTCTACTTATCGCATATGCCTTAGGAGCCACAAAAAATACCTTTGCAATTCTTTGGATAGTGATGTGGAAGCCCAGCAAGTCAATGTCAGACACAACTCACCCACGAAAAGCACCAGAAGCAAAGATCGCTCAAAAATAGTCAACGGCAAAGAGAGAATTGGCTAGGCCGAAGTGCTCACACCGACGCCCTGCATGACCTTCAGGTGGGTCGCCTTGGGTGTTAAGTATCTGGACTTAAACGAAACTCTACCAAGATTCAAGACCATGTTTTTTGTCACAGGCAGTTTCGCAGTGACAGTGAATGGAAAAATCTGAAATTGGTAGGTCACACAAACTCAAAAAGGATAACAAAATGTCCCGTGAACGAAAGTGAGACAGTTTCAACCGTCTTTTTTAGTTTCGAGGCACTGTAGAGATGAGGATCGGCACCAGCAGGGCTTTGCCAGCATTGCGGCAGGTGCTGCACTGTGCCTCCTCCCAGCTCGAGGCGTCGTCACGGCGCGCTGCACGCGCAGAGCAGTCGGGGTCGAAGCGCTGAGTCTCGCAGGCCACGGGGTCTGGACCAGCACAAGCCAAAGCGCTCCTACAGAGGTGAAAAATGAAAAAACTAGACGACGAGTGGCCCGAAAGCATTTTTCATCACGTAGGAAGTCAGAGTGCGAGTTATCTGTTAAGTGTGTTATAAGGACCCACTTCAAGGTCACCACCAGGACGGTGAGGTTCCAGGGAGCCTGGAAAGTGTTCAGTGTGAAGTGTTAAGTCGAGTGTGTTGAGGCAGTGTGTGGGTCTCTGTGTGTGTGTATCTATGTCTGTGTGTGTATGTGTCTCTCTCTGTATGTCTTTCTGAAGCGCAGGAACACCTGTTTTCTGCAAGTTCTTCACCTCTCGAAAGTCACCTCCGCGTAGTAAAGTTGTACTACAAAGTCGCCAGTTCTCATCTTCCAGCTCCACAGATTGCTCCGCGTACTAAAGTTCTACTACCAAGTCGCCAGTTCTCATCTTCCAGCTCCCCAGATACTCCGCGTACTAATGTTGTACTACCAAGTCGCCAGTTCTCATCTTCCAGCTCCCCGGATACTCCGCGTACTAATGTTGTACTACCAAGTCACCAGTTCTCATCTTCCCACTCCCCAGATACTCCGCGTACTAAAGTTGTACTACCAAGTCGCCAGTTCTCATCTTCCAGCTCCCCAGCTACTCCGCGTACTACAGTTGTACTACAAAGTCGCCAGTGCTCATCTTCCAGCTCCCGAGATACTCCGCGTACTCAAGTTGTACTACCAAGTCGCCAGTTCTCATCTTCCCACCGCCCAGCTACTCCGCGTACTAAAGTTGTACTACCAAGTCGCCAGTTCTCATCTTCCAGCTCCCCAGCTACTCCGCGTACTAAAGTTGTACTACAAAGTCGCCAGTTCTCAGTTCTCAGCTTCCAGCTCCACAGATTGCTCCGCGTACTAAAGTTGCACTACCAAGTCACCCGTTCTCAGCTTCCAGCTCCACAGCTACTCCGCGTACTAAAGTTGTACTACAAAGTCGCCAGTTCTCAGCTTCCAGCTCCACAGATTGCTCCGCGCACTAAAGTTGTACTAGAAAGTCGCCAGTTCTCAGCTTCCAGCTCCCCAGATACTCCGCGTACTCAAGTTGTACTACCAAGTCGCCAGTTCTCATCTTCCAGCTCCCCGGATACTCCGCGTACTAAAGTTGTACTACAAAGCCGCCAGTTCTCAGCTCTCAGCTCCACAGATTTCTCCGCGTACTAAAGTTGTACTAGAAAGTCGCCAGTTCTCAGCTTCCAGCTCCCCAGCTACTCCGCGTACTAAAGTTGTACTACAAAGTCGCCAGTGCTCATCTTCCAGCTCTCCAGATACTCTGCGTACTAAAGTTGTACTACAAAGTCGCCAGTTCTCAGCTCCCAGCTCCACAGATTGCTCCGCGTACTAAAGTTGTACTAGAAAGTCGCCAGTTCTCAGCTTCCAGCTCCCCAGCTACTCTGCGCACTAAAGTTGTACTACAAAGTCGCCAGTTCTCAGCTTCCAGCTCCACAGATTGCTTTCGCGCGCTCGACACGCACGATCTCCGCAGAGGGTTGCGCGCACAGCCGGCAAATCGCACTCTCGCCTGCATTTCGCGCACTCGACACGCACGATCTCCGC